CCCTCCCTGTTCCCCCCCCCAGTTCACTAATCCTCTATTTTAGTTTTATCTAAACTGCTAGTAAACCCAGACACAAAATGATTTAATTTAGAATTTATTTTCACTGATACATTAAAAACACAAAAATTAGGGCTGGAGAGATGGGTCAATGGTTAAGACCACTGGTTGCTCTTGCAGAAGATCCAGGTTCAGTTCCTAGCACCCACATGGCAGCTCATAAGTCTGTAAATCCAGGCCCAGAGGATCTGATGCCCTCTTCTGACCTCCATGGGCACTTCATGCATAATGTGCACTTACATACATGCAGGCAAAACACTCATACATATAAAAATAATAAAGAAATAGGGTTGGAGAGATGTCTCAGTGGTTAAGAGCACTGACTGCTCTTGCAGAGAACCTGAGTTTGATTCTCAGCACCCACATGGCAGCTAACAACCATCTGTAACTCCAATTCTGGGGGATCTGACACCCTGTTCTAACCTCTGCAGCATTGCATGCCACGGTGCACCTACCTACATGCAAGCAATACGCTCATACACATAAAACAAAAAATAATAAAATGAGATAAAAATAATTTAAAGCACAAAGATTGTATCTATTTAGTGGGTACCATGTCATGTTTCAATTCATGTATACATTGTATAATATTCAAATCAGGGCAGGCATATCTAGCTCCTCAAATGTTAACTATCTATGGTGAAAACATTCAAAATTCTTTATTCTACTATAAGAAACAATGTTCCTCTCTTCATAACAAGAATATTGAAACTAGGTGTGATGGCACATGCCTTTAATTCTAGCACTCTGTGAGATCAAGGCTAGCCTGGTCTATAGTCTATATAGCAAGTTCCAAGATAGGAACTGGGGCTACAGGGAGGCATGCGTACACACGCACACACACACACACACACACACAAAATCTTTGTGTGCAGGTGTACATGCACATACATGAGCAGGTGTCTGCAGAGTTCAACTATGAGTGTCTTTCCTCTTCATGTGCTATCCTCCTTGTTTTTTGAGACAGGGTATCTCACTGTGACTTGAGGCTCACTGATTCAGCTAGGCTGGCTGGCCAGTGGGCCAAGGGGATCCTCCAGTCTCTGCCTCCCCAGCATTTGGATCACAAGTACACACCACCATGTTCAGCTTCTACGTGAGTGCTGGGGTTCAAACTCAGGTTTCCATGCTTGTGCAACAAGTACTTTACCAATTTAACTCTCTCCCCAGCCCCTATATTACATCTAAACTCAACCAATAAGAGAAAATATGTGATTTGTCTTTCTGTATCTGACTCATTTTGCTTAACATATGATTTCCTGTTGGGAGCCTGAGGCTCAGCCATTTCTCAGGGCTGCTGGTGGATCTGAGTTGGTGACTTTCCATTCTGCTCACCATCCTCCCGCAGGTACAGGCCAGAGCCTGCAACCTTCCCACGGCCTTGGCTCACAGCCGGGACTCACAACCTTGGCCCACAACCTTGGTTTACAGCTGGGGCCCGCAACCTTAGCCCACGGCCTTGTTCTCTTTTCCAGTAAACAGCCTTGTTCTCCGTTAATCAGTAGATTCCTCCCTTAAAGTACATCAGGGCCCCTGTGTTCTGATTGATATGATTACTCATTCTTCACTTTGTTCTCATTCTCTATTTAAACTCATACTTGTGCTTCAATAAACGAAACTTGATCAGAATCCTGTCTTGTCTCCATTTCTCTTGTCCTTGCCTCATTTTCATCCCCACCCCCCAATCCAGGTACTTTGTGGAAGTTCTGCGGGTCAGAACCGAGTCAC